TAGCACAGCATCCATACGGATCATTGTTTGGCTAAACACTCTGAACGTGTATTTAAGCCAAAGTTAAATATAAGAATTGAGTGTAAACAAGCCTTAGTGTGCAATCGAATTCGCTATTAGTCGCTTTCCGCGCACGTCCGGCGCAAAATACGAGTTTTCTAACAGGAATTCAGTCACACTCGGTGACAATCGTGCACGAAGAATAAAAAGGAAATCCCAAGGTCCCGCGGAGCGGCTCTTTGCGCGGCCCCTTACTTATCGTTAGAGCCCGCACGTGTAACGGCCTAATTGGAATAATTGTTCAATATAATTTAGCCGAGCCGCGAGCGCCTTCCTTGAAAAAAATTAACCCTCTTTAAAACATAACTGTAACCTACTTGCGCGAAATAAAAGTAGCCCGGCGGTCTTTCTAAAAGCAATTACTCGAAGCAATTTGCTCGTACTTTCAGGGCGCACTGTAAATTAGCCGCGGCAAGAGTGTACCGGCGTCGCATGTGACGTGCACGGTACACGTAATTTCCTCGTCGATTATGTTCCAGCGGCATAACAGCGCTTCTGTCAGTTTCCTGCCCGCGCGCACACAGTACGAGAACCACTTGGGCCGGTCGAGAAGAAGGGCGCCGGAAGCCCCGTGGAAAAGGGCCGGAAGTATCCTCCAGGCGGGAAGAGACCAGACCTACGACATCGCTCAAAGGACCATTCCCTCCCCTCTTCCTCTCACTCTGTCTCTCTCGCTCGCTCGCTCGCTCCCTTCTCGAGCTCGTTACCGCCGAACCGTGTCCTGAAGTATAGCACCACAAAGCGAAGTACAACTCTCGACCACACGTGGTCCGCTCGACAAGCACGTCCGTTGGAGTCGCCCAGAAGCACCCTGTGTGTCATCAAACATCAACGACGTCGACAATCACGACGACATCGACGACGGTCAACAACAGCGACCACCGACCAACGACTCCCACGCCAAATCCCATCGACCTTTCCAAGTTCATAGGAAGCGCGGCGCACGTCCTACGAATGACGCGTAAAGGAGGAGGTCGATTCGATGGAGGGAGAGAGAGAGAGAGAGAGGGAGAGAGGAAAGAGAAAGAGGGCGAAACCGCATTTATCGATACTACCGGATCCAACGATCCCTCCCCGAAGAGCGTACAACGACTTCGGGTATACAGAGCGCTCCGGGCATTGAGTCAAGATTAAAAGAAACGGCGTATACGGCGCTCGCGTATAAAGGCAGACGAGGGGTGAGATAAAAAGAGGAAGGAGCAAGAGGCGAGAAAGGCTGAAAGAGAGAGAGAGAGAGAGAGAGGGAGCGAGAGGGGAGGCAGCCGGGCACGGGGACAGGCAACGCTCGCGTACCGGCTGCCTCTCGTCGCGCCTGCGCTTCCCGTCGGAAAGCTCCGGCTCGTTCTCTCGGTCCTCGTCGGTCGTAGCCGTGATCCTCCGTTCCGCCGGTGTCGCCCACCTCGAGCTCAGTGAGCCGGTGTGTGAGCGCCGCGACGCCTAGAACAGCACTATCGTCGCCGGAGTTTTCGTTGTCGTCGCCATCCTCGTCGTCCTCGTCGTCGTCATTCCCGTCGGCGTGGAGTTGGCGACGGTCCCACGTTTCCCCTTGTCCCCGTCGTCGTCGTCGTCGTCGTCGTCGTTCTCGATCGAGCGCCGTCTGTCCTCGTCGTTCTCGTGATCACCGCTTCATCGTCGTTCTAGTCATCGTCATCGTCATCGTCATCGTCATCGTCATCGTCATCATCGTCGTCGTCGTCGTTGTCTCGCTGCTCTCTCGTGGTGCTGGCGCTATCCGGGAGGCACGCGACTACCCCGAGCGGTTTCCGTGCGCGAGTCGCCGCGGGAAGAGAGAGACGGACGAGTGCAGTACTACGGGCTCGTTCCTCCCCTCTCACTCCTCCTTCTCCTCCGCACCTTCGCTCTTTCTCCTCCCACTCTCTTTCTCTCTCTTTCTCTCTTGCTCCGTATATGCACGCTCTCGCCCTCTGCTGCCGCCGCTGCTGCTGCTGCTGCTGCTGCCGCCGTCGTCGTCGCCGTCGCCGATCGCTCGTCGCTCTCTCTCGTTCCCACGACCACGCTCGTCCTTCGCACGACGTACCGTGCACCGTGCGCCTCCTCGGCCATCGTACCGTCTTCGCGCCGCTTGCGACTCACGTGCCACGCCACACGGACACACGGCGCACCTACGAGGGCAGATTTCACGTCCCGCGAGTTCTCCCGTCGTCCGTCGCCCCCGGTCTCTCTTCCTCGACGTCGCGAGACGACGGCCGCGCGGCAGGGCCGAGTGCAACGGCGAGCGAGAGCGCGAGGGATAGAGAGGAGGAGTGAGCCCGAACGAGAGCAGGGGAGAAAGAGAGAGAGAGAGGGAGAGAAGGACACGCGACGCGCAGAAGAGGACGCAGGATCGTGTAGACGCCGTGGCGTCGTATCCGTCGTGCCCGCGGGACCTCCGAGGTGGACACTCGTGTAAGAAAATGTACTCGCGTGACGGTCCTTAAACTTGGCCGCGGGCGTGCATCCCCCGTGTGCGGAGAGGGCACGAGGAAGCGAGACGGCGAGGAGTCGGGGGTGTCTGTCTCCACCGGCAGGGAGGGCGTTAGAGCGAGAGAGAACGCGGGAAAGCGGGGCAGAGAGGGAGAGTTAGAGGGGCGGCTGGGAGGGGAGAGAAACGTACGACAGAGAAGATAACGATGCTCGAACGTGATGCTATACACGTCCGCGAGGGTTGTTCCGAACGACGACGGTAAACCGAATCATCATTTGATTCCTTCTGGATTGCGTGGTATATATACGTATATGACGGCGCGGCGCGGCGCGGCGCGGTGCGTGCGTGCCGCTGCGAGCGCGCCTTGCGGACTCTGCGCGTCGGCGGGGCAAGGGTTGGTGCGCGAAGCAACGTAATAGCTCGCAACCAAGACGTGAGCGTAAACGTAGAATAGCGCGCAAGCTTCGGCCTATGTCGTACGGTTACGCTTACGCCAAAGCTCGCGCGCTCTCTGCGTTTACGCTTGCGTCGCTCTGTCGCAAGCTTATTACGTCGCTTCGTGCTGCGAGCCTGGCGGCGACCCCGTGGGGTACGCGCTGCTGCCGTCGCGGCTCGGCTCGGCTCGCCTCGGCTCGGCTCGCTCGCGGCCAAGTCTTTGTTTCGATGTTTCTGCATAAATTCGTTCTTATGTATACTCGTCGCACACGCTTGCACGCAATTTACTGTTGGTGTACATTTGCTACTTGAGATGATCGATGTATGCACGTTGGTGGTGTGTTGTCCGGCGCCGATTTGATTGTCTCTCGATATCGCGACATAACGGGCTCACGTCGCCGACTGAATTGCCGTGAATTGAGAAGGATCCGAGTGCGCGCCGAGAGCAGCGGGGCTGTATCTGCGCGTTAAGCTCGACTCTATTTTTAGGCCGTAAACAGTTAGGCCCGTATTCCGAATCCTCTTTCGTCGATAACAAGCGCCTCTGAAAAGGCGCCTTGTAGCCAATCGGGAGGCATATTGGCCACTTTTAGAGGCGCTTTTGTCGATAAAAGAGAATTCGGAGTACGGGCCTTGCAGCCTCATTTATATCAGTCGCCTTTGTATCTTTTCGCACTTGGACCTTTCCCGAGTCGCACGGTGTTCGTTCGGCGCTGCGTACACCGCTGATTATTGCCGTTTAATTCTAAGTTTACTGTGTATTTGTATATACATGTATTATAATACCAAGAGATCGCATTCGATGTGTAACGTGGGATGAGCATCAGATAGATTTAACGTTAAATGCGCGATGTGAATGCGAACTGATGATGTAACTCTGAGATCTCCCCGCAATATGAATGCATGTATCTGTACGGATAGCTTTCGTGTGAAAGGAATCAAGTGCCTTTATGTTAAAACCGAGAAACAGCCTCCTAGACTCGTCTCTAGAGAAAACGATATAATATTTCGTATTACAATAACGATCTATGGTTGCATAGCAGTGCACGCTTCAACTTACCTAGTCGAGTATTTAATAGAACAACAATGTACATATCTGTAAATATATCTGTGTTTATACAAAACTCATCCAACGCGTCGTTCGAATATTCAAGTAGAGATGTGTGTTACACGTTGTTTTGTAAACCGACCACTCCCCTCGTCTTGTTGTTCGCGAACGATAAATAATAAAGACTTTCGTTACCCTTAATGTTACACCGTTCATCGATTCCGTCGGAGGATATAATAAAAATTTGCCATGACCTGTTGAATGCCATAAAAAGAGTTCCCGTTATAACTCCAGAAAAGTTCACGTTCATCGATAAGGACAGCCGGAGAGTCGCATGACGAAATACGGAAGCATGCGGAATTATGCGGAAATAAAGTTGGACGAACGCGCGTGAACTCGGCGCGAAACGCGAACGGAAAATGACGGGGTTGATTTTACTAATCGAGTCCATTTGCACGAATTCGCAAAAGCCTAGTGGCAATTTGCTCGTTGATTTTTTCACAACGAGAGATTACGAAGATGAGCAACTACATGTCGATACTCGCCCTCCTACTAGCTTAATCGCAATGTTGTCATTTACGATCCAGCATTGATTACTGTCTTTAACAATGGAATTTAATAACTCACAAACAGATACAATATCGCCAGTAGTTTATAACCAATGATGTATCATTTTTAAACGACCTACACTGGCCAATGTTTTTATTTAAAAAAAAAACGTTTCGGTTCCAGATTTGGACCTTTTTCAGGTAATCTGCAAACGTACATGACTTAGCACTAAACATTTTTTATACACAGGGTGTCGCATTTTAAATGATCCACGCAAATATCTCCAAAAATATGAAAGATAACGAAAAAACGTTTCAAACGAAAGATCATTTAAAATGAGACACCCTGTATAAGACAAAAAGTAATTATAACGGAGGTAAACCATACATTTAAGGTAAACCAGTTCACACAATTGTTAATCTCGTTATAATTACTTTTTGTTTAAAAAAATGTTTAGTGCCAAGTTATGTACGTGTGCGGATTACTTGAAAAGGGTCGAAATCTGGGACCGAAACGTCGTTTTTTTTTTTTAAATAAAGACATTGGCCAGTGTAGGTCGTTTAAAAATCACACATCAATGGAATTTAACTCGCTGCGTTTTTGCCCTCCACGTTCCTTCCCCACTTCTCTCGGTCACTTTGGAATGTCCCGGCGAAGTGAGCATCGAGCTTCTTTTAGCGTTAATGCGGCATAGCATGATATACGATTATCGTTAATTTCCTGAATGTCCTGGCACACAAGGCAACGACGCGAGTATAACGCTCGAGTGACGCGTTCGCGCAATCGATTTGTTTGTCACAACTCCTTCTACAAAGAACAATTTTTTTTATTGGAGCATACTCAAAATTCAGATAGCTCGCGATAAGTCGCTCTTTACACCATTCATTAACGTTGAAAAGCTGATGATATCTGAATATATACATTTCACTCGCGTCGTGCCAGGAAAGAATAACTGTTTGTGCTAAATATGTACAGAAACATTCGTGATGCATGCGAACTTACATAAACGTAGCGTGATAAATTATAAGAGGCTAACAGGTTATTAGCGAATTCGGTAGCTTGCACTAGCGCGCGCCGAGCGCACACTAACAATAAGGCTTGTTTTTACAGTCAATTCATGTGTTTAAGAATCGTCGTAACTACTTTTTCAAATACTTGTTAGCCAGTAAAACAATCTGCACAACGTTCGTACGGATAATTTTTTTGGCCAAATAGTTTTCGGACATGTACTCGAGATGACCATAAATACAGAGGAAAGTCCTCTATTATGGGGTAGAAACCTCCTAATAAGAGAGGTTTCTACTACATTAATAGACATCTGTTGGTTCCACCATGAATTGATTGCTCTTGGAGTAAAATCTGTTTAATAAAAGATTAATTGTTAGATCGCGTGTAATAGCTGCGAAAAGATATTTGTTATTGCATTTGGATGTTGAAAACCGAGGGGGAAACCGCTGACCAAAATCTTGTACACCAATGCCCACTAATGCCCAATGGACATTACTTTATCTTATTATATTATTTTATCCTATTTATCTTGGTTTATCTTATTTTATCTTTATAATGCCCTAGCATTCATCGCAAGTAATCGCATCCTCACTCTATTACTCTATTTTATTATCTTACTTTATCTTGTTCTATCTCTTATTTTATCTTTATAATGCCCCAGCAAGGTCTAATGCCCAAAAAATGCCCTAGCAATGCCCAGTAATGCCGCAAATCTGTACACCACAATGCCCTCAGCGGTTTCCCCCTCGGTAGACTCTGAACAAGCCTTGGAGTGCACTCGGTGCGCACTAGTGCAAGCTGGCGAATTCGCTACGAGTAATGAACGGAACGGAAAAACGCGAGGAAAGTAGGCACAGACCAAAGTTCGTAGAATATCGCATAAGCGGGAAACGACAGCTTCTTATCAATTTTCGATTCCACAGGGGTCGCACGTATACGAGGTGGACAAGAGAAAATGACGGCGCGGATGCGGAAATAGCGGCCGAGAGGGAAAGAGACGACGCGACGTGAAATGCAAAAATTCTAAGACGCACCGCGGAGAGATAATTTGTAATACAATACGAAACTGATGCGGGGGGGGGGGCGCAGCCACGAAAATTTCTCGGGGCCTTTAATAACGCGAGACCGGGCGTAACTTATCTGCGAAACGGCACTCGCCTCAAATGTAGCGCGCGATGTAACCGGATATAATTTCGCGGCGGAGTCGCGTGCGCGCGCGTACGCTCTCGCGAGTGATTCATCGGCGCGTTTACACGACGTCGGGCGAGGAAAGGCGGCTATTTTCGGATAGCGCTCGTTGCGGAACGGGACGCTTTTAACGGGCTCTTATGCCGTTAAAACAGGAAGCTGATACCGACGTATCACTGTTATCGTATAATATGAATTTATATGACAATGCCTTTCTATTACGACCGACAATGGCGGCGGCGGCGGCGACGGTGGTGTAATATTACCAAGTCGCCCCGCGCTGTAATGTATAGCCGTATGCGCTCGGCGCGCTCTCTCTCTCTCCTCCGCGGACCATAAAGCGAATAATATAGCTTGCACGCGAAATGAAATATTTCAATTGCGGGACTCGCGTTAATTGCGCGCGCGCTCGCCCGCTCGCTCGCTCGCGCGGCCGCGGCGTTTCAATTATCGTAATGAATTACGACGTACGCGAATTCCGTCGACGCAAGCGCGGATATACGGGTGGATCTCCGCCGCGGACGGTGCTACTCGATCGATCTCAATCCGGACGTGGCGTTCGAAAGCGCGCGTGGAATATAATGAATATGTAAATATTCGACGCGGGGGGGGGGGGAGAGGGGGGAAGGGGCCCGTTGTCGCTTGTAAATAGCGGGGTGCGCGTGTAACAGGTGGTGTGCTCTCTGTCTCGCCCGGCGTCGGCGTCGGTGTCGTCGCTCGTCACACCTGACAATGGCACGCAGGCCGGCGGCGGACCGCGACGACGTAGCGCCGGTGCGCGGTGGACGGAAGCGGGCCCTCGGCCCTCGGCCCTCGGCCCTCCGCTCGCCACCGACGACGTCGTACGCGGCGGGCGAAATTCCTCGCGCTTTCACGACACGGCGTTCGCCGGCACGAATTCGTATGCCCGTTCGTCGTACCGTTTGCACGTGAGTGTGTGTGTGTGTGTGTGTGCGCGCGCGCGCGTGCATGCCACCGGGACGCATGTGTGGGGCCCCGCGGGCGTGTACACGGCGTGCAGGGCACTAAAAGTTAAACGGCGCATTTTTGCGATCGCTCGTTACCGCGCGATAAAATTTACGCGCGCTATAAATAATTGCGGCAAACACCGGCGCGTCGTATTCTCTCCCGAATGCTCGCGCCCCTCCGTTTTACCCGCCAATAAAATTGTCTGAATTTTTCGATCGCGCGCTTTAGTCCTCTCCCCCTCCCCCTGATTACTTGTTCAGATTTCGTCGAAGCTCGTTATAAAGTCAACTTTTTGTGGAGAAACCTTTCCGAGTCAATCAACCGCGTGCAGGTTCGAGATCCCGTCCACGAACGGCATGCGAATTCGCGCGTGGAACGCACGGTTTTTCGAGGGATTTCTTAAGCGAGGGACGTAATTAGGCGAGACACGTCAAACCGGTGAACCGCGTGTAAGCGCGCATGCACGCCATCGTTCTAATTTATTAATTTGTCAAAGCCGCCAAGTCTCGCCAGCGATCAACTCGTCGACTTTGCGCAACTTGGATTTTACAATACTCGATCGTAGGGAAAACGATACCGAAGGCGAGCGCTTCCGGTTCGACGGGGATGCAACAATAACGAAGCTCGATACGAGCCGATACCACTCGCGTCTCGTAAAACGAGCCGGAGGAGCGTCGCGTATCGGGTTCCCCTCCTCCCCGCGGGCTCGCGTAATTACGCCATCGCGAAGGGCTTCGCGACTCGCTTTTGAATCGCCGTCGCGTCGACCTTCGGGGTTCCCTCGGCGAAACGATCGGCGGCACGTGATATGACGCGGCGATCGATATCTTTACGCCGCCCCGGCATGCATTGTGTGAAAGGCGTGATCTTTCGCAGGGCTCGCTCCACATCCCGCAGGCTACTGTCGACTGCAACGTAATCGTCCCACGAGCTCGCCCCCGGCCCATCGTCGCACCTGCATTGTCGTCCGCAAGATCAACCAATGATCCGGGCGAGGGGAGGGGAGTACGTGCTGGTGCGTTCGGCGCGCTGTGGAGACGACGGGATGAAATCGCGCGGTGTTATTAGCCGGAAGATTCGAATCGATTCGCGTCGCGCCGAGTAATACCCCGATGGTGGTGGTGCGCGGCTTGATAATCACGATAAGTGAGCGCGTTCTTATCGCGACGTTGATGAAACACGTGTGCGAGACGCGCGTGTGATCGCGCATCGACTTGACTGGCCGCCCGGGATCCACGTGTACGAGCACAAACGCGTTCTTCGAGGAGCAGAGAGATCGCTCTCCAGTGACCGGTGAGTACTGCTTCGCTCGCTATCAAGTGCCCTTTGTCAGCGGCGTCTGCCTAGTTGCGGCCAAACGGACCGACTGGCACTTCTGGAGGCTGCTCGCGAGGCGAAGCCACTCCGCGGCGTCTTTCTCTATCGCGCCGAGCAATATTGTCGCGGCAATGTCATTCATTATTTCAAATGCGAAGCAATAAAGGGTATAAGAGCCGAGACAGGGCGTTAGTGTCTAATAGCGAATTCGGTTGCTTGCACTAGTGC